TATACGTTAAGCACTTATTTAATAGTTTTCTTAGCAAAGACCTATAGAAATACTTCCTGATCCAGTGACACACTGATTGTATTGTTAACTGGTATACCTTTCCTAAGACAAAACTTTCTAATTTTGAACTTGTATAAAAATATCAACCGCACAGTTGTATCTCATTTATCTCTTGTACAACAGTACCTGTATGTTTGTAATTAAATCTAAGATAATATAAATAGTTACATTTTTTTTATCATCATTATTTGCTTATACATACAGGCGATAAAACCTAACAACACACATAAATTAATTGTATTTTTACATAAATCTATCACATACTCATAAGGACACTTTAAGCATTCACAGTTTCAATTTCCGATAAAAATTCAGCACCACATATGTAAAGGAAATATAACCCAACAGTCCATAATTACTGGTACAAACTGAACTATTTAACCTGGATGCAAGACTTTGAAATACTTTTACAATTGTCTCTATGCTTTCACACTCTCTTTTACAGCTTTTTATTTTGATCATTACCTTCAACAATTCTACACTCTGGACAGATTATTAGCAAATATTGTCTACACTGTACAAGAATGCGTAACATACAACACATGTTAGCTATCACAACCCTTACAGATTTCAGCATAAAATCACAGTATTCCACGGGTGAATACCATGATTGCATTTGTATCTCATGTAAGTATAAATATCAGAATCTATATACATGAATTTTTAGAATTATAACTATATACATTAAGTCTTTTTAATCTCAGAATAATAGTTGTAGCACCTAATATACAAAAAAATCGAACACACCTTGCGTATGACATTCCGACCTTGATCTGTCAAGCAACAGATCCAAGTTACAAATTAGCTTCTGGTTAGAGTTATCAGAATGTATTTAGCTCGCTTCTACCATATAATCATAAGTGGTAGAGTACTTTAATGGCAGAATTAAATGAACCGAAAAGATACTACCTTTTATCACAACAAACAAGGTTGATACAATTTCCCATACTCTCACTGTGTAGCTGAACTATTAGCAAATGCTAATATTAACTTGCAAAGTGATAACTTTTGATCTGTTAAGAAAAGAAATAGTTTCTATTGCTTGTTATTGCTCTGTAATGCACAGTTTCTCTCCTTCTAACCTAAAGGAAAGACAGCATGAAAAAAAAAAAAAAAAAAAAAAAAAAAAAAAAGTTAGTATTTTCAGTCATCACTTTTAATACTTTTCTGTATTTACACTGAAGTCTAGTCCCTCACGCTGGATCATTGTGCAAGGACTTGAAAGTGAAGTACGCAATTTCCGACAGGGGAAGCTTGTAATTTTTGATCCATCGCCCACCTCGGAGCAAGTGCCCATCGATCTCATCCTTCCAAATGCCCGCTGGGAGATAAATGTTCCGAGTCCTTTGAGTTCGGTTGGTGATGGGGGCGACCAACAGATCAGTCCCTAGGATCCACTCGTCTGAAACCTGTGCCGCAACTGGGTCGTTGGGTGAGAACAGGGCCAGGGGGGTGATGAGAGGGGTCCCTTTCTCTAGGGCTTCGGGGATCTTTTTCCTTAGGCGTGGCAGGACAACTGTCTTCCGAAGTTTGCTGTATTTCTCGGCAAGCCTTCTTACTTCATCATCATACTTGTTGGGCAATACACATATCTGTTGAGTCAAAAACTATATTATTTCAAATAAATATGATGATGATGATGATGTTGATAATGATAATTATTATAATAATAATAATAATAATAATAATAATAATATCAATTAATACTGATAAAAAATAATAATAATAATAATAATAATAGTAATAATAAAAAATAAATAAATAAAATAATGATGATAATAATAAAGTTACTGAAAAAAATCCTAAAGTTACTAAATATATTTCCCATTCTATGAAGTTCAAGAAACCAAATGCCTCAGGGCAACTTAAGCATACAAGAAAGGAGAAAGAAAAAGCAAGGAGAAATAAGTGGCCCTAACTTACAGCCTAGACAATAAATAAAATGGCAATGTTCTCTCACAACAATACTTGCTTTTATCTATTTTATTCAGAACATCTTGATTTTTTAAACTGTCATGAAAACAGACTGAATGATGAAGATGTTACTGAAGATAAACTTGTTATGTTTGATAAAAAGATGTATTAAGTATAAGAAAATGTGAAAACATTATATGATATGAAAATTATTGGATACTGCATTAAACATATATTATTATAAAAAAAAAAAAAGATGTATGTGAAAATTATTTTTTAAATAGAGAATATTACATTATGCCTACCAGGAACAAACATATCTGAAAGTGCTTTACACAGGATGACACTACAGTATTTGATTTTCTCTTTTCAACCTTAACATCTGAACTATTTAATCTTTTAGATACTATGCATGTAAAATGAGCTGAAGAAAACTTTCAAAATACTCTACATATTGCCATACCTGCATTGCTGGAAGAAATGTTGCTACTTCCATCCACCGAATGTAAAGTTCCCTTTCGGGTATGTGTCCCATTCTTGCGACTCCACCTATTGGTCCCACATCGATGAAGGGGAATCCAAGCATGGCTAGGGTCAGCACCCTTGGAACGAGTGTCTCCAGCCCTTCCCAGGACCCATCAGAGATTCCAAGAGTAAGGAATGTTGGTGCTCCGGGTGGCATGACAGCACCTTCTGTACTGATGGGTGGTGACACTGCACTTACAGACTCCATGAAATAGGACAGTATTGCATCAGGACCAGGAATGGGCATGTGATATTCATGATATGCTGGAAGATCATGGGAATCTGCAGGCTTCAGGTGGAAACGGTCAATGTTATACATCCTTTTCAATTTTCTGAGTTGCACCGAGAACCAGTGTTTAGCCTTTGGGTTGCTAAAGTCTGTTACAGCAGATGGATAGATGTCCTCATAGTTTGTGAGTGCAGGGAGCTCTGACAAACGTTGGCGTATCCAGAGGCCATCCAGAGTCCCCTTCTCAAATGTTGGAGCATTGACACTCACAAACGGATGAATGGTCAAAGCTAATTTAAAACCTTTTTCTTCTATTTTCCTGGCCATAACAGCAGGATCTGGAAATCTCTTGGGGTCAAATACCAGGTCACCAGGCTGCGACTGCCATGATGGAGGAAGGAGAACATGACCTTTGAATCCATAGGTCAGGTTGACAACCATATCAACATACTGAAGGATGGCATCTTGGGTAAGCAGAGGTTGATCTGAAGACATCCATGGAATCCAGACAGGATGGTCTATTCTTCCTCTGACGCGGGCCTTTGCTTCTTCCATTCGTGTATCTTTAGGGGCTGAACCATTTACTGACACAGTTATATTTTCTTCTTTAACTTTTGGTTTCCTCACTAAAACATTCTTTAGAGGTTGTACAGCTGTCTTCTTCTGAGCTAGAGCTTCAGTATGAAGATGGTAAGTTATTGCTGAAAGATTTTGGGCTGTACACAGCCTGTACTTCAGTACCGGAAGCCTAGACGAAATAGAAGGTTGGGGCCGAGACTCCAGGCAAATCTGGCCATCATTCTCATAATTGACAGAAACATGGCCCTTGAAACTATCTGGAAGTGACAAGAGTGATGAGAATTCAGAGAGCCATGTACGCCTTAGGAGCTGCCCCCAGGAGTCTCTGCCCAATTTGCCTGTGACCATCTGGGTGGGTGGGACATTAGCATTAGTGACAGGATAGCCCCCATCTGACATCTCTCCTCCACCCCACCAAGCTCCTTCATCTCCTCCAACTTTCAGGCAGTCTTTGAGGGTGAAGTCTTCCCTTGCTGCCTCCCACCACACAGAGTAACACTGAACGTCATTGATGGAAGGCAGTTTTCGGAGCTGAACCCGAGCCAGTGCCGTCCAATCGAGACATACCATATCACTGTAGAGAAAAAAAACAATAATTTAATAAATTACTGCAGAAAATAATCACTGATACTGACAAACACATGTAATAAAAAAAACTATAATACTGTTATTTATATCAAATTCAATTTCTGATATTCTGTAAAGAATATTCCTCTTCTCCAATCTTCAGTATCCTCATCAAAGGCAAATCACTAAAGACTGCTAAAAGTATTCTTCACACATACTCATACTCCTCCTCTTCCTTGTCAAGTCCGCCGGGAGTGATTGATCTGTTGTGTTTCTGCAGATAATGAAGATAATGGGTGCAGTCTTCAGGAATTGAGTCACTGGGTAACCATGTTCCTAAATGTGCCTTAACAACTGGCTTCCCATCAGGGTTGTATATCTCAAGAATTCTCGGTGCTTCAAAAAATTTGATTTGACTAAAGATGGAGAGCTGAAAATGGAAAAAACAAAGAATTAAAATAATTACTATATTACTATGAATAATAAACTACAGACTTGAATACTAATTCGCAAATTTTACAGACAGTCATCATGTGCCATGTATCCAACCATCATCATTTACATACACTGGCCAGAAACCCTCATAAAAAGCCACTTACCTCCAGCAAATGCAAGTTATAGAAGTACGTTGTGAGAGAAATCCCAACAACTATAATAATGAAGAGAAATACTACAAGCACCATGAGACCTAAGTCGGCCCGTGTCTTGGATTTTGGAGAGTCTGGTTTCTGTGCAAAGATGAAGGAAAATTAATACGTTGAATAAAAGAACACAATCTTAATGGAATATGAGCATCTTCCAGGTTCGGTATTTCACAATGTTTGTATTGAACTTGCAAGGGGAGGGTTCTACTTGCAGAACATTGTAATTATGAATGTCAGATTACCTAACATTAATATTTTGGAATTAATGAAGATTGTATTGCTCCCTCCACTCTCTCTCTCTCTCTCTCTCTCTCTCTCTCTCTCTCTCTCTCTCTCTCTCTCTCTCTCTCTCTCTCTCTCTCTCTCTCTCTCTCTCTCTCTCTCTCTCTCTCTGTGTCTGTCTCTCTCTCTCCTATAATCTGCCTTGCCTTTCTCCACTTCTCATTTTATTGTTTTATTTCCTCTCCTCCTTTCCCCTTTTC